AGACGCCACTAACATTTCCAGGGGTCTGTGGATGTCAGAGCCAACTAAAATAAGGCTGAAGTTCAGATGTGATGGCTGGTAGTTCCAGTCTAATTAAACTATTGAGAAATGGAAGAACAGTGGAAGCTATAGCTGTCAGTTCTAATTTCATGATTAGGCTATATACAGAATGTTTCTGAACTTGAAATTCACATCTGTTCATTGAACAATGCTAATCTCAGCTATGACAGCCTGGGAATCTGTCTTCATAAAATGCTTGCTCGTCAAGTTAGCAAGTTGATGAGCCTGCCTACTCCTTCCAGAACACAGGTTATTCCTGTTGCTAGAAGACATTAATTTTTTTTATCTCTAAGGAGATTAATACAGTTTTCCCAACTACTGCAGAAATCTTCTGGGTTATATATGCCCTTATTTATGCAACAGATTGTTGTCACGATTTCATCTCCAATCTGACACATTGTGGTTTTTGATGCACATGAAGCAAAAAAGCAGCTTCATGCATTGCCAAAAGCTTCAGTACTTTTATATTTTGCTATCTCTTCACAGTATTTTGCACAAGCCTACTTCTTGAGCCTGCCAAGGTCCCTCTGGAAGGCATCTCTTCCCTTCAACGTGTTAACTTCACCACATAGTTTGGTATCATCAGCAAACTTGCTGAGGTTGCACTCAATGCGACTGTCTATGTCACTGACAAAGACGTTAAATAACACTGGTCCAAGTACAAACCGTTGACCACTCGTCACACATCTCCGTCTGGACATTGAGCCATTGATCACAACTGTGGGTGTGACCATTCAGCCAGTTCCTTATCCAATAAGTGGTCCATCCATCAAATCCATATTGTTCAAGTTTTGAGACCAGAATATCATGCAGGACAGTGTCAAAAGCTTTAGACAGGTCCATGTAGATGATGTCTGATGCTCTGCCTTTGTCCACTGAGGCTGTGACCCTATTGTAAAAGGCCACCAAATTAGCCAGGCAGGACTTGCCCTTTAGTGAAGCTGTGTTGGCTGTCACCAGTCACTCCTTCATTGTTCTCGTGCCTTAGCAGGGACTTCAGGAGGATCTGCTCCAAGAATTTGCCAGGTAGAGAGGTGAGACTGCCTGGCCTGTAGTTCCCTGGATCTTTTTTTCCTTTCTTGAAAATGAGGGTGATGTTTCCCCGTTTCCAGTCAAACTTCACCAGATTGCCATGACTTTTCAAATATGATGGACAGTGGCTTTGCAACTTCAGCTGCCAGTTCTTTCAGGAGCTGTGGGTGAATTCCATGAGGTCCCATGGACTTTTTCACCTTTAGGTTCCTCAGGTGGTCTCAAACCTCCTCTTCATCTACGGTGGAAGGATCCTCCTTTTCCCAGTCCCTGCCTTTGTTTTTGTAACATGGGGGGCATGACCACAGTCCTTGCTGGTGAAGACTGAGGCAAAGTAGTCATTGAATATCTCAGCCTTCTCTACATCTTGGATAACAAGCTCTCCCATTTTCTGTTGAAGTCGGTCCACATTTCCCCTAGTCTTCCTTTTATCATAGATGTATCTATAGAAACTTTTCTTATTGCCCTTAACTTCCCTTGCCAGATACAATTATCTCTGTGCTTTTGCTTTTGTAACCTGATCTCTTGCTTCGCTGACTAGTTCTCTCTACTTCTCTGAGGGTTATCTGGCCTTGCTTCCAACCTCTGTAAACGTTGGTTTTACATCTAAGTGTGTCCAGGAGTTCCTTGCTCATCCATGCAGGCCTCCTGGCACTCCTGCCTGCCTTCCTCTTTGTAGAGACACACTGGTCCTGGGTGCACAGGAAGTGTTCCTTGAATATGGTCCAGCTTTCTTGGGCTCCATACCCACCCAGGGCTTTGTTCCATTCTACCCTACCAAGCAGATTTGTTTGAAGACATCAAAGTCTGCCTTTTTAAAATCAAGTGTTCTCAGCTAACTTCGCACTTTTCTCACTGCCCTAAGGATCTTGAATTCTATGGTGTCACTGTCACTGCAGCCTAGTCTCCCACTGAGTTTCACATCACTCACCAGCCCATCTCTGTTGGTGAGAACAAAGTCCAGCAAAGCTCCTTTTCTGGTTGGTTCCTCTACCATTCTGAGGAGGAAGTTGTCAACAATGTACTCCATGAACTCTCTGGAGTGCTGGTGCTTTGTCCCTCCAGCAGATGTCGGGGTGATTAAAGTCCCCTATGAGAATCATGGCTTGCAAGTGTGAAGCAGCTCCTATCTGTCTAAAGAGGGCCTCATCCACTTGGTCATCCTGATAGGGTGTCCTGTAGCAGATCCCCACTGTGGTGTCTCCTGTCCCTGACTTCTTTTTAATCCTGACTCAAAGGGTTTCCATCAGCTCCCCATCCATCCCCAGGTGGAGCTCCATGGACTCCAGCTGGTCACTGATGTAGAGGGCAAGACCCCCTCCCCTTTCGTCATCCCTATCCTTCCCAAACTGTTTATGCCCGGTCATGCTTTGAGCGTTTGCATAGAGGCATTTGAGATGTTGCCCCCTTTGAAGCAGTCTCATATATTTCCTGGTTGGCCCATGATTCTTTTCCAGGCCCAGGGCAACTGTTAGTAGCTCTGTCCTTACCATAGTGGGCATGGAATGAGCTGAGGATCCCCTCCCCAGCATCCCTAGTTTAAAGGCCTCCTAACTAAATTGGCCAACCTCTGGCCAAAGGCTCTTTCCCCTTTTTCTGACAGGTAGACTCCATCAGCCCCCAGCAGACCAGGTTTAGCAAAAAGAGCCTCATGGTCTAGGTAGCCAAAACCCTGGCTATGGCATCACTCCTTCAAACACTCATTCATTTTTTGAATTCTGTCAGCCCTTTCCTGCCCTTTTTTTTTCGAGTGATGAGAGCACCATCTGTGCTCCCAAGCCCTTCAGTGCTGCTCCTAGCACTTTGTAATCCTTTCGTATAGTTTTCGTGTTACTCTTAACAATATAATTGGTACCCAAATGAAATAGTAAGAGATGATAGTAATCAGTTCCAAAAATTTGTGAGCAGAAAGGGAAATTACCTAATTTGGTTGGCTCAGAGTCTTCTTTTACCTCATACAAGGTAATTTTACCTCATATGTTTCAGAGATTCTTAGTTGGCTTTTGCCAAAACCAACAATTTTGGGCTGTGCTTGCAGAAGGGAGAACAGGACAGGAAAATGTGTATTTCTTTGTAAATTTTGTAAAAAACAATCTTTGGGATCACTTAGATAAAAAATTGTCCCTACATTCATTCGTTATTCATTTACCCAAGAAGGAAATACTTTAGCCCTACTTCCCAGCAAACTCAGTCACTTAAAATACGTTAATGACATCTGAGCCTGATCTAAATAGTTTATACTACCTAGATAAATGGTTAATGACTTATTCAATACTTCCCTAACCTTAGGAATTTAAAGTGCTTTGAATCACATCATCCCTTACCAATGAGCTGGTACACACTGGAATCCTGTAGTAAGCTTTTTCTTGTATAAACCTCTTGCTCCATGCGTATACATAAATATATGTATTTCTCTTCCTGTGGGCCTATACCCGTGCCAGCACTCTGATACAAATGGATTTTCCAAATAGCACTGTGGAAAAGGTGATATGCAACCCTACAGCCCTGGGGCTAATGGAGGAACAGTGTTGATTTCAGGGCAGCTAGATTGGACCTTAGAAAACACTTTGTGGGTGTGAATTTTCTCAACTGTTATGCGGTTTGCATAACAGTTCTTTTACCTCTATCTGTCCACCTGTTGTTAAGAATATCAGAAGAGCGTAAGGATATCAGCAGGTAATTGCTTTACAGTAAGGCAATTAAATAAAATCTTCAATAATTTAGTGTTAATTTTATTAATAACATGATCCTCTGTTAAAAATGTGACTGAATTCTCTGGGGATTTAAAATCCAGAGTAGTCTCTCCTACAAAGCAAATCTGAAATAGGTCACCTAAATCGTAACCATTTTAATCGCCAATCATTAAATAAAATATGTCTGTTTTAACAAGAATCAAAAAAGCATAGTGGAAATGTATACCACTAACCAGAGTCCCTGCTAGACATGACTAAGAAGATATTATTTTAGTTGAAACTACTTGCATTTTTCATTTAAAATACAAGAATCTAGATATGAACTGTAATTATCATAGCAAAGGGGTGATTTCCTCAGCTGTGAGCATACCTCGGTCCCTATTACAGCTCAGAGGACCCTGCTGTCCTTTTCCATATGCTTCCCTTCCCATTAGGTTTTATGTATTCATACCATAATCCTTCTCAACTCACTGAGTTCATTACAGATCAGAGCTACACTGTAAACTAATCTAAGTGAATAAACCAGAATAGCTCCTAATCTGTAAATTGTTTTTCTTTTCTGCATGTACCATGCAACAATTTTGCTATCGGCTGCATACATTTCAGGGAGTGAGAAGAGAAATATTTCATTAAAAGAAATAATTTTTAACAATACCAGCAAAATGAGCTTTCAAATCGTCATGGGCAGAGCTGAAAAAAAAAATAATAAAAATTTGCTTAATAACTTCAGACCTCCTACAAGGGATATTTAATTTTTAAACAGAAGAATCAAATCTCTCGGTTCATGGATTTGGTTGACATAAGCTATTGAAAATGAGTTTGTCCAAGAAAACTGTGCTATATATGTTTGGAACAGAGGAAGGAAGGCTCAGAGGGAGGTTAGATGATACTTGCCTGTTTTAAATGGAAATCAGTCTCCATTCCAGTTTCTGAAGTCACAAAAAGATTTATTTTGCACTTATTTCAGTTAACCCTTCTTCATGTGAAGACACAGACACAGAGGGAAATGAAGTATATTTTAAGACCACTCCATATACCAAAAGCCTTACAAAAGTTTAAGTAGAGCAGTTATCCTTAAACATCTTCTCATGTTTCCTTACAAAACAGTAACTACTGGGTTTTTTCTAAGATTCTCTTCAAACTGGTAAAGAGAATATTTGCATATGAACATGAAGCTATTAGTCATCTAATAGGCTGAGCCTGCACCATGCTAAAATGGTTTCTGAAAGATGGCCAGCATTGCTAACTGCTATTCGAAGCACCCTGACTGTGGCTGATTTAGTGATTCTTAAGAGCAGATACAGCACCTTTCTGGATGACTGGATTAGACAGGTCTTAGTGAAGGCCACTATGTTCAGCTTAAAGAAAGGGCCTAGAGGACTTTTTGGTATTTACATATGAAATATTCAGAATTAGACACATAAACCAAAAAAGTTATTCGTTCTTGTTCAAATTTATAGGAAATTGAAAGATGCACACCCTAATTAAATATAAACATGCATCCCTTAAAGCTAGCAGAAATTAAATTTCCATTCGTAATCTTTTGCATATGAACCCATCAAATTAGTCTATCCATGTAAAAGAAAAATGAAATTATAAGAAAAAAACCACATGTGTAAAAGGTGTTACTGAGTCATTCTGACTTGCTCCAACAATCATTGTTTCTGGTTTTCTTAACTTAATCATTTTGGGTTTGAGCAGTATTGTATATGCATTTCTACTCAGAGTGCTTTATAGTTCCAACAGAAAACTATCAATTTCCAAGAAACAGCTCTGTTACCCAACTGTTCGTGATCATATATGGCCAGAGAGACAATCTGAGAAAATGTAGTGGTAGCTTGCAGAAGAATGAATGTAATTACCAAAATCTGGATGCACAATATATTGCCAATCCTCTGCCCACTTTTCCTCATTCCCATGCATTTTGAGAATGAGCACAATAGTCACAGGATACTTGTTAGTAGATTCAACAGAAGTATAGCCTAATAAAAATTTACTAAAATAATGAATTTGCTGTACTAACTTAGCTGAACTGTCAGTCAGTTATGCCAAACATCTTGCAGGTTGTGATAACATCAAGTTTTCTAAGACCTGTACCACCAACAGACAACATTAATGTTGATTCTGGATGATTCTGGACACCCTTGGGCAATCTACCAGCAGGAGATGGGACACAGAACAGGACATAAGACAAAAGGATGAAGAAGAAAAGGACTAGAATCAAGAAAGACCTCCACAGGCAACCCTCAAGCATGCATAATTGCAAAGATGATTATGTAGAAGAATTCTGGGAACTCATTGGCAGAAAAATTGATATGCATGTTTTTGGTGCATATTAGTTGGGGTGTTTTGCTAACTCGTGGGAGCACTTATAGTGGAGAATCCCCAGTGCTGCCCAGCACTGCAATAAAGAATGCCTGCTCAATAACAGCTTGTTGTTACTGGGTTTTTATCTCAGAATCCATACCTAGCTGCACCTAGCCTCCCACTTTGGTAAGCAGGGTTAGAAAGCAAGGAGTTTTGGAAGCTCCAAATTTTTTTCTTTACAAACATGATAATGATACTGAATCTTCATGCATTTCTTTTGCTATTTTACTAACTGCAAACTGTTTTCTGGGAATTTGTTTATATCCTATTGTGAACACAGAAAGGATTTGGTTTTGCTTGAAAAGATTGTGCTGCTTTGAGAGAATGAGAAGTACAGCCCATTATACCACGGCTAACAAGAAAGAAATATAAAACTAGTATTGTGTCACTGTACATATTAACACAATATAATTAAATTTAATGGCTTTATTAAGCTTGCTGTCTTCGTGAAGATTATCATTATAGTCTTTTTCATTTGAAAAAAACATGAACTGTGGCTCTTTGCACACTCTAAATCTTTTCTCAATGATTAATAACATATGAAAAGCAGGACAGAAAATGCACAAATCTGAATGTGATTTGCTTTAAAATCTACTAGTGTGGTTGCAAGCCATAAAAATGTTCAGTCAACTAGGTTCCAACAAGTCACAATTTCTTTTAAAAGCCATTGATGATTTAATAAGAGAGCCACATGGTTCTACTCTTGTCAATTTAAACTCAGCTACAGTCTTCTTGTGGCATATGCATGAAGAGAACCTGTCACGCTCAAATGTCACACAACTTATTCATCCCTCTCTAGTCTGCTTATAAAGACAGACAGCAATACATTGGATTGTCATGGGAAAAATGGAGTACAGCTTAATAACCATACCTAGACATTGACTTAGTCCTGGACTGTTAGGACTGTTTCAGAACTACTATGTCAGGTTCCCTCCAGCATCAGGCATCACTCTTCTGTCCTGTTGGTGGGCTAGTGTCAGCTTTCAAAAATGTCATTCTAAATATACTGAAAGGAAATATGCCCTGGACAGCTCACAAAATGATATCTCAGCAAAGGAGTCAGGGGTAGGGATGAGGGAAGTAAGACAGGAAAATAATAAGAAATCCAAGAGTCTTGGAATAATATTTTAGTTTTCTGTTTGCTTTTCTGAGGTGGTCAGATCACTGCTAATTTAATATGTTCCAAACTTAGGAATTTAAAGGCTAACTGAAGCTTGTAACTTCATATCAGTATAATTCAACTACGAGAGCCAAAACAATTCCTAAATCAAGCCAGTTTAAAATGAGAAACATTCTTCTGCACATTGACCTTTCTGAAAATGAAAAGTGGCTGAGTTTTTAATATAATCTGACATAGTGTTTTCAAGGCTAAAACCAAAAATGTTGCTTTTATCATGATTGTTTCTCCATGTAAGCTTTTCTTGAAGGATTAAAGAATGGAAGAATATGTAATACCAAAAGCTGTATTCACAGGTTTTTTTTAAGTTTCAGAAAACGATGTTACATTTTGTCAAGTATGTTACACTTTCCTTTGTGAGATTTTACCTTCTGAAAAATTCCTCCACAGTGATTCATGTGTAAATTTAAAAGATTCTCTCTTGGGCTAGGGTTGAATAACTAGTTCACTGAAGTTCTGCTATTATGATGATTAGTGAGAAGGTGATGATGGATGGCAGACCTGTCTTCCTTAGTTATTTTGTGCCCTACAAAATGTTCTTCCATACTCATTTTAAAAAGGGGTAAATTCAGGCTTTTCAGCAAGGTTGCAACACAGTGTCCCATGTTGGAGAGTTTATCTGGCCCAGTGTCTTAACCCATCATATGTTATCAATATATTGTGTATGTGCAGTATGTATATATATATGGATACAATGTATGAGAATTGTATAAGTATAGAATTTCTTACTATTCCTATGCAACTAGGTAAGGGGAGAGTCTAAATGAAATTGTTTGCTTGAAAGAAAATTAAAAACACAGCAACAATTGAGATTCAACCTGTACCACTGTTCTCTCACTCCACAGAATCACAGAACTGTGATGGTTGGAAAGGACCTCTGAGATCAATGAGTTCAGAACAAAAAAAAACAACAACAAACAAACAAAAAACCACAAACAACCACACATACTCCAACAAAAAACACCCACCAGAAAACCCACTACCTCAGCCTACAGCATGCCCTGAAGTTCTACATCCACACCTTTCACCAAGGATAGTGACTCAAACTCCTCCCTGAGCAGGCTGTTCCAGTGCCTGATCACTCTTTCAGTAAAGAAATTCTTCCTAATATCCAATCTAAACCTCCTCTGCTGCAACGTCAGGCCATTTCCTCTGGTCCTGTCATTCTCCATGTAGGAGAAAAGGCCAACACCAAACTCCCTACAACCTCCTTTCAGGTATTTGTAGAAAATGATGAGATCTTCCCTCAGCTTTCTCTTCTCCAAACTAAACAACTCCAGTTCCCTCAGCTGCTCGTCACATTACTTGTTCTTTAGACCCTTCATTAACTTGGTGGCTCTCCTCTGGACCAGCACCTCAATGTCCTTCCTCTAGTGATGTGCCCAAAAGCAATATGTTTTGTTAGCAAATGGCAAAACAGTCCCATGAACTCTACTGCTCAAGTTCAAGGACTTCAGTTCATGCCACTGACAGGTTGTGCTAAATTTCCTGACTGGTTGTATGCATGAGTCAGGGAATCAGCAGAAGTGGATTTGGATGGAAATTCAGTTTTTAATTACACAGGACAATTCAAGTCACTCATTCTTGTATCCCAAAAGACACTACTCTTTGATCTGGTAAAACAAGAGAGATAACTTATTATGCAGCATGCTTCTACACATTATAAAAATTAAGCTTCTTTAATTGATTCACCTCCATGATATGCTTTATCTGTCTGCCGTGAACTTGTCTAATATTCTAAATTCTACTCAGATTTGTTACTTCTACTTAGGGATTCATAACTATGACAAAGTACTGCAATCTTCTGTTGAAAAGTGTAGATTTGTATCATCTATAATTTTACTTGCAGCAGTGTCCGCAGAATTGCTCACATTCAAAAACTTTAGATGTTTGGATTTCAGAGATTACTTGAAATGCCAGGTACTGATGATACTTCTTTTTTTCTTGTTTTCTCTTTTTTTTTTTTTTTTTTTTTAAGGGTTGCATATTTTGATAATTGGGAATGGACTATCAGTACAATGTACTAGACATTCTCTGCACTTCCGGTGACTGAGAGGATTTCAGGGGATATAATGAAGTTGCTGGTATCAGACCACTGGTTTCTTCCTTGATTTCTTTCTCTAATGATCCATGTATTCAAGGCATGTTTATTAGTGTATACAAGTCATGAATACGAGACCATTCATTCACTGTTCTTTTGTCTTCGAACTCACTGGGGGAAATTGTTCACAATTAATTAGTCTAATCATGTATGATTTTTTGCTTGCAGCTTTTTCCAGTGTTTAGTTTGGTCGCCAAAGAGGATTTGATGGTCTGCTTGTGGGCTGTTGCTGGTGCAGCAAAGCCAGGGCACAAAGCCCCCGGAGTGTGAGGGGTCAGGTGCCCCTGGCAGCAGGGCTGGTGCACCTCAGAGGGGACACTGCTGGGACAGCCTCCAACAGGGCTGCTGGCTCACAGTAACTATCACCCACGGTCACACCACTTCTGGTTGAAGAGTACAGATACAAAAAGGTGCTTAAGTCCTCTTTACTCCCATCTGTTCTGCAACCAGAGAGACTGTATCAAGTTTCCCATGCAAAAACTGAAGTCTTGCCCTCATTGTGTATTTTTTTTGTGCTGTGCCTCTGTTCCTAGCACAAGACTTCCACAAACGCTTCCCACAGTCTGTCTACACACCTCAGCTATTCCCATGCTCCATTGCTTGGAAACTATTTAAAACAAAGACAAACATTTGCCTGACTGCTTAAGAATAGTGAACATATTACAGACACCTTTCCCTCATTGTATTTAACATTTGAGATTAAGTGGGGGATTAAGTTTCAATGCTCTGTTTGGTTTTGTAA